TGAAGCTTAAAAAAAATCAATCGTTCTCTATGATGCCTGTTCACGCATTCAGGTGTGAACAGGCACCATAGAGAACAATTGATTTTTTTAAGCTTCAGCTTTGGAGCTTCAAGCTACAAAACACACAAGTGTGAATGCAGCCCAAGCAGATACATATTTAAAACAATGAACTATTGAAGTCATCTGCCCAAACTCAATCTCAAAATCAGATTTGGGGATTCTATTGATGCTGTGTGACCTTTCCTTTGAATTAGGTTTTAAAAATGTGAAGATGAGATTGAAATCCAAGATAAAAAAGTGGATACAAATTTGAAGTATGGTTTTTCTTATTATATAGTTTAGGTAAATATAAAGAAGATTTTACAGAGAAGGTAAAATCAGATCGTATAGTTTATGGCCAGTTTTAGACCAAGCTTAAAGTAGTACTAAAATCTAAATACTTCTTTGCATTAAGATGCAAAAAAAAAAAATGCCCGACTACCTGTCATACCCCCATCCCTAAACACTTATCTGGCTGCATGTCACTGCTCCAGAGCTGTCTCTGGCCCTAGCACCACTCCTCTCACTCCCTGCTTTCATAGGCTCCTTTTGCTGTCAGTCAATTTCCTGTGCAGAGGGAGTGGGGCATGGCCTAACAGGGCTATGTGTGTCTATGGACGAACACAGCCCAACTCAGGAGCATGCACACCTGAGTTGCTGCAGGAGGTATGTGGAGGAGGGAGAAGCTGACAGCCCAGCAGGGGATTGCCAAAGGAAAGCAACTGCTCTGTGCAATATCTTTGCACAGAGCAGGTAAGTACAATCACTTTTTTTTTCTTAATGAGAAATTGTAGTCTTTAGCATGTTTTTAAACTTCACTCATATACAAGGAGATTTTCTTTTTTTTTTTTTTTTTTTTTTTTAACGGTTTCTAGACGAGAGACCTGCGATCTCAAAGACCCAAGATCTCTTTATAAAGAGGACCTGTCGCAGCCCATGCTATTACAAGTGATGTTGTTCATCCCTTGAGATAGCAATAAAGTTGATAGAGAAAAGGAAAAGAAAAAAAAAAAAAAAAAAAGAAAAAAAAAAAAAGACGGTACAGTGTTAAAAAAAAGAAAATAAAAAAAAAGCGCCCGGTCCCCCTAGGTCAGTGGTCGGCAAGCCGCGGCTCGCGAGCCACATGCGGCTCTTTACAAACTGAAATGCGGCTCTCCTGTGTGCCGGGCGCCCGCGGCTCTCCTGTGTGCCGGGCGCCCGCTCCCCTCCCTCCTCTCGGGCGGGCGGGCGGCCGCCTCTCTCCTCCTCTCCCCTCCTCTCGGATGGCCGCCCCCCTCCCTCCTCTCGGGCGTCAGGACTCTGCAGCTGTCAGGATGTAGGCGGGGCAGCCAGGATGTAGGCGGGGCAGCGTGACAAACTCTTCTCCTCTCACAGTCCGCCCTGAAGACCAGAACGGCGCGGGAATACGAGAGGAACGCGCGGAGCAAAGGTAAGTGAATTGACACAGGGGGGGACTTACTATATGGGAAATGAATTACTATATGGAGGACTTACTATATATGGGGAATGAATTACTATATGGGGGACTTACTATATGGGGGATGAATTACTATATGGGGGACTTACTATATGGGGGATGAATTACTATATGGGGGACTTACTATATGGGGGATGAATTACTATATGGGGGACTTACTATATGGGGGATGAATTACTATATGGGGGACTTACTATATGGGGGGGATGAATTACTATATGGGGGACTTACTATATGGGGGATGAATTACTATATGGGGGACTTACTATATGGGGAATGAATTACTATATGGGGGACTTACTATATGGGGGATGACTTACTATATGGGGGACTTACTATATGGGGAATGACTTACTATATGGGGAATGACTTACTATATGGGGGAATGACTTACTATATGGGGAATGACTTACTATATGGGGAATGACTTACTATATGGGGAATGACTTACTATATGGGGGACTTACTATATGGGGAATGACTTACTATATGGGGAATGAATTACTATATGGGGAATGAATTACTATATGGGGAATGACTTACTATATGGGGAATGAATTACTATATGGGGAATGAATTACTATATGGGGAATGAATTACTATATGGGGAATGAATTACTATATGGGGGAATTACTATATGGGGAATGAATTACTATATGGGGAATGAATTACTATGGGGGACTTACTATATGGGGGATGAATTACTATATGGGGGATGAATTACTATATGGGGGATGAATTACTATATGGGGGATGAATTACTATATATGGGGGGATGAATTACTATATGGGGGATGAATTACTATGGGGGATGAATTACTATGGGGGATGAATTACTATGGGGGATGAATTACTATATGGGGATGAATTACTATATGGGGGATGAATTACTATATGGGGGATGAATTACTATATGGGGGATGAATTACTATATGGGGGGATGAATTACTATATGGGGGATTAATTACTATATGGGGGATTAATTACTATATGGGGGGAATTTACTATGGGGGATGAATTACTATATGGGGGATTAATTACTATATGGGGGATTAATTACTATGGGGGATGAATTACTATATGGGAGATGTATTTTCAGTTTTAAAAATGTGGCTCTCAAAATAAATTTCAATCATGGTTTTGGCAAGATTTGGCTCAGTTGAAAAAAAAGGTTGCCCACCACTGCCCTAGGTGAATGCAGGCATCAGTCCCACACACATATGTAAACAGCGATCAGAACCACGCATGTAAAGGATCACTGCAAATGTCAGACCGAGAGCAATTCTAGTGGCAGACCTCCTGTGTAAGTCTAAACTGGTAACCTGTAAAGGCATTTCAAAACATTTTCTATGAAGATTTTTAGGTCCTGTAGTTTGGTGCCATTCCACAGGCATTCACAATTTTAAAGCGTGACATGTTTGGTATCTATTTACTCGATGTAACATTACCTTTTATATTTTACCAAACAGTCGGTTGTTATATGTGTTTTTTTCATTAAAATTCATCAAAGTGTATTTTTTCCAAAAAAAAAAAACCTGTGTATTTGAAAAACCGCTGTGTAAATATCCTATGACATAAAAAAACTGCAACACCCTCTATTTTATGCTCTACTCAGCGTAACATCACCTTTTTATATTTTTACCAGGCGATTGGTTATTATATTGTGTTTTTGCGCATTAAAATTCATTAAAGCAGAGTTCCTGTGAAACTGTAAAAAAAAAAAATAAAAGTCAGCAGCTACGAAAACTGTAGCTGCTGACTTTTAAAGAACAGCCACTTACCTGTCCCTCGATCCTGCAATGTCCTCCCTGTAGCCCGTTTCACTGGCCATCCTGTATTCTACGCACTGGCATCTTCAGTTTGGGCACCCAGCTGGGACAGCTTGCAGCTTCACAGCCGGGTGTCGACTGCGGATGCGCTTTCTGAATGGTCCCGTAATCTTCTGGGACCTGTCACGTGTCCCAGTAGACTACGGGGAGGACAACTTCCACTTCTGATCACCTAGTGCAGTGGTCCCCAGACTGTGGTCCTGGGCTGGATGTGGCCCTTTGCTTGCCTTTAACCGGCCCTCTGGGCACACTCTCCCCCACTGATACAAGACACTATTCCTTTCCTCCCACCAACAATCGGGAATAATTACTTCTACTGACGTCAATAATTAAGCACTATTACCTCCCACCGACGCCAACGATGGGGCACCGTTTCCCTCCCACCGACGCCAACGATGGGGCACCGTTTCCCTCCCACCGACGCCAACGATGGGGCACCGTTTCCCTCCCACCGACGCCAACGATGGGGCACCGTTTCCCTCCCACCGACGCCAACGATGGGGCACCGTTTCCCTCCCACCGATGCCAACGATGGGGCACCGTTTCCCTCCCACCGATGCCAACGATGGGGCACCGTTTCCCTCCCACCGACGCCAACGATGGGGCACCGTTTCCCTCCCACCGACGCCAACGATGGGGCACCGTTTCCCTCCCACTGACGCCAACGATGGGGCACCGTTTCCCTCCCACTTGACACCAACAATTGGGCACGATTCCTCCCACTTACACCAATGAAGGGGCGCTATTCCTCCCCCTAACATCAAAGATCCTAACATCCCACTGATGCCAGCACAATTTCTACTCCGAATGGCCACAGTCTTGCCCCCCAAAAGTCTGACGGACGGTAAACTGGTCCTATGTTTACAAAGTTTGGAGACCCCTGGCCTAGGCGATCACAGCGGAAGTGAGAGCAGGTACCTGTCAATTTCAGGTACCTGCTCCTCAAAGGTGCCAATCCTTTATGGGAAGCAGTCATTAAAGCAGAACTTCCCCTTTTGGGTGGAGCTCTGCTTTAAAGTGTAGTTTGTTTGTTTTTTTAAATGTGTATTTGAAAAACCACTGTGCAAATATCCTATACCATAAAAAAAATGCAATAGCCTCAATTTTATTCTCTACTTGGCGTAATATTACCTTTTACATGTTTTACCAAATGATTGATTATATTGTGTTTTCGCGCATTAAAATTAAATTGCATTTTTTCCCAAAAATTTGTATCTGCAAAACCCCTGTGCAAATATCCTATGACATAAAAACATAATTGCAATGCCCTCCATTTTATTCTCTAGGGCATCTGCTTAAAAAAAACCGTTTGGGGGGTTCTACGTTGTTTTTCAGCAGCAAAAAATTCTGCTTTTTACGTATAGGAGGGTAATGTCAAAATTGGTCTGGTCTAGAAGTGGTTAAATCAGTTTTGTTTGAATCAGTAACTCAGTATGTGGATAATGGATATTTCTTGGATCGAATCCGTAATAGGATTCAATTGTCTGAAGAATGATCGGATCAGATTATATGTATGGCCATATAAAGGTGACCTTTAGTGTACCCTACCATTTAATACACAGAAACTCCTTTTATGTGTCATTGCTCTTTGCCGTGATCTGTAGGGCTCAGGAAGGCATGCAGAACAGTCATGTCCTTGTGAAATCCATCTCACCTGCCGGGTGATTGTAAAAGGGTCTCATCCTGGGAGGCAGCATGAGCTCGATTTTATCCAGAGTCCGGTGATAAGACGCCCTAAGCCCGACCGCCGCCATCTCTGCCGCTCGATCGGTGACAAGTGCAGGGACTTAGAGGGCAATGGATACAATTACTAAACCGAGCGGAAGCGGCAACTGTCAGCGCAAGGTCTCCGACATGGGCGTCTATCTCGATCGCTGCCCTTATTGGTTCAACGCAAATACAAGCCCCGCCACAAGCCCCGCCTCTTCCTGACAGCTGTTTTGTTCGTGCGTTCCATGGTTGCGTTCCACTCCGTCGGAGCTGACCAGAGCGGCGTGCTGAGCGGGAGGGCTGCCTGACATTTCCTAACACAGGAACCATTTTACAGAAACATTGCTCACTATTGTGCTGGGTTCTGGCCACGTGATTGATGTTTTAAAGGAAACCTGTACTAAAAAAAATCAAAGCTAGGGGTTTGGGGTTTCTCTGATCCTCCTGATGCTGTTCTGAATTCCCCCCAACTGTCCTTGATTTCAAGGGACTGTCCTTGATTTCAAGGGACTCCCTGATTTGGAACAAAGCCCCTCTGTCCTTCTCATTTGTCCCTCATTTTGGTCTGATCTATATAGTATATAAAATGCACTATTTATCTTTCAAAAAGTGTTTCACAGTGCTAACCTTTTATCCAATTTTATGAATTGTTGTATTTGTAAATTTCAAATACCAGCAAAAACGAATAGTAGTAAAATAAAAGCACTTGTGGGTTTAACTAATCTTTATTTTGTCGAATTCTTCTTTAAAGAGGTGTGGTAGGGGTGTGTGTCCTATGCATACATGCATTTACTAATACGTGTCCCTTGTTCCTATCTCAAAATGTTGGGAGGAATGTATTCTGGGTTGAATGATGTCCAGGGTCTATGAACCCACTTTCTGTGATGTCCTGCTGATGCTTTCATGGGTTGAATGAGTTCCAGTATCATTGAACTCACTTTCTGTGATCCTCCCTCTGACGATCTTCTGGGTTGAATGATGTCAAGCGTCGTTGAATCAACTTTCTGTGAATCTCCTGATGTTCATCCAGGCTGAATGATGTCCAGCATCCCTGAACCCATTTTCTGTGATCCTCCTTCTGATGTTCCTCCAGGCTGAATGATGTCCAGCATCCCTGAACCCATTTTCTGCGATCCTCCTTCTGATGTTCCTCCGGGCTGAATGATGTCCAGCATCCCTGAACCCATTTTCTGTGATTCTCCTTCTGATGCTCTTCTGGGTTGAATGATGTTCAGCAATCCCAAACTCTTTTTCCCTAAACCCCACAATTGATGCTCTTCTAGGTTAAATGATGTCCCACATCACTGAACTCACTTTCTGTGATCCTCCCTCTGATGCTCTTCTTGGTTGAATGATGTCCAGCATCCATGAAACTATTTTCTGTGACTGTCCTGCTGATGCTCTCCTGGGTTGAATGATGTCCAGTATCATCGAACCCATTTTCTGTGATCCTCCCTCTGATGCTCTTCTGGGTTGAGTGATGTCCAGCGTCATTGAACCCACTTTCTCTGATCCTCCTTCTGATGCTCTTCTAGGTTGAATGATGTCCAGAGCCCAGTAACCTACTTTCTGTGACCATCCTGTTGATGCTCTCCTGATTTAAATGATGTCCAGTATCATTGAACCCACTTCCTGTGATCCTCCCTCTGATGTCTTCTGGGTTGAGTGATATCCAGCATCATTGAACACATTTTTTAAAAATCCCTCCTGATGATCTTCCAGGCTGAATGATGTTCAGCGTCATTGAACCCAATTTCTTTGATTCTCTTTCTGATGCTATTCCAAGTTGAATGATGTGCAGAGTCATTAAACCCACTTTGACCATAATGCTGATGCTGTCCTGGGGTGAATGATGTTCAGCATCACTGAACCCAATTTTTGTGATCCTCCTTTTATGCACTTCCAGGCGGAATGATGTCAAAGCATCATTGAACCCACTTTCTGTGATTATCCTGCTGATGCTGTCCTGGGCTGAATGATGTCCAGCATCCTTTCTGTGTTCCTGCTCTTGGTGCTCTCCTGGGTTAAATGATGTCCCACATCATTGAACCCACTTTCTGTGACTGTCCTGATGATGTTCTCTTGGGTAGAATGATGTCTAGCATGATTAAACTCGCATTCTGTGATCCTCCTGCTGATGCTGTTTTGGGTTGAATGATGCCCAGCATCACTGAACCCACTTTCTGTGCTCCTCCTTCTGATGCTCATCTGAGTTGAATGATGTCCAACGCCACTTTCTGTGATCTTTCTGCTAATGTTCTCCTAGGGTGAATGATGTCTTGCATTGGTGAACCAATTTTCTGTGATCCTCCTGATGGTGTTCTCCTCTGATTATTGATGTCTTGCATCATTGAATCCACTTTCTGTGATCCTCCTGCTGCTGCTCTCCTGGGGTGGATGATGTCCAGCATCATTGAATCCACTTTCTGTGATCCTCCGGATGATGCTTCCCTGGGGTGGATGATGTCCAGGGTCATTAAGCTTCTTTTTGTGATCCTCCTGATGCTCCTCCAGGTTGAATGATGTCCGTTGTCATTGAATCCACTTTCTGAGATCGTTCTTCTGGGTTGAATAGTCGAGGGCCATTAAACCTACTTTTTTGAGCTCTCTGCATCATAGACACACCCCCTCGCAATACATGCAGAGGGAGTTGAAAGAAGTACCCTGAACATTTTACATTTTTATCTTGAATAGCTCCAGAAAAATAGCAGTACACGTCCTGGTATGTGCACCGCAGTCTCATAGTTGTATATCTGTAGCGTGAAATCTAAGACACTTCTTTCTGAACTCAGTAGATTTTCCAGTGAGTTTTGGTGATGTCACTAATGTGCTGTTCACTTTTCCTTGCTGGAGGCAAGGAAGCTTTGTGTTTGGGAAATATGGTCTATGCCCATGTGTGGGTAAATGGTACACATGAACATTGAGATCTACACAAGTACAGGGGCATACAGCTGTTTACTTCTGTGGCCACTGTACACCCCACCTGTAACAACTTGGGTATGGGAACATGGCAGGAATTTTGTGCTAGATTTATTTTATACAGTACCTACAAACATCTATGTTTATTGAAGAAAGGAGAAAGAGGAGCTATTCCATGAGGAGATAAAATAACAATCCAATGAGAAATAAAAGCTTTTGGTAGTGAAATAACTATTTCTAACTAACAAGTTATAATGGATGAAAGCAAAAATTAGATATGTTGATAAGTTCTTTGAATATTTTTTTTTTAAGAAAATTGCTGTGAGATAAAATAAGGAATGTATTTAACATAACTCCTGTTGTCTACTGGTTGCTGTGGGGGATCGTTTCAGGATGGAGAGCAGAGAAAAGGGCTGGTAAATGAACAAAGTGAGTGATCTGTACTGATAACTCAGTGTTCATTCATAACTGAAACATAATAAACTGTGTTTACTGTGTTTCAGTTTGTGAATGAACAGGACAGGGTGACTGTGCAGAGCTCTTCTTGTTCATTCATTATGTGCGGCTGAGGCTGCGGAGTTGGAGACTACTCAATCACTCTCTCTGTTTCAAAAGTGAGATAACGGAGGTCTGTTTAGCCCCCTAACAGGACTGTAAAAAAATAATAATGAAATTGAAATAAAAATAAAAACTACTGACACTGGCCACTGCCATACTGACACCAACTTCTGCCATACTGACACCGCCTATGGCCTACTGCTATCGTCTGCTGCCCTACTGACACTGTGCACTGCCCTATTGATACTGTCCACTGCTCTACTGACTGACACTATCCACTTTTAAGGTAGGCTAAGTTTATAGTTTTAGTGACATATGTTTTATTATATTTTTATAAGTTTTCCTTGTTATTTACTGTAGTATGCCTTGCTAATTTTTGTACAATAAAAAGGTGCCAAACCTTCAATCTTTGATCTCTTTCATGTTGTTAAGGTAGATCTCCACCTCTCAAAGCTTGCCTACTCCTGTTCTAGAGAAACAGAAGTGTTGACCATGAGACATATTGATAAGCTTAGTGCTGGAAGTATTCGGTTCTAATAGCCAGAGTTTGTTCAATGAGAGTTTATAAACTGCGTGCACATGGGTATCATAATTTAAAAATGAAAAACAGATTTTAGGTCATAAAAGTTTTCACAAAATTTGCCATGGTGCATTTCACATCACTTTAATGGTAAAAGTTGACCTTGACTTGGGGTATTCATCTGAATTGTGTAATTTCCTGATTTGCTCTGGGAAAGCACGCCAGAACTGCCACAAGCTGTATTATTCCTAGCTACCTGCAGTGTAATGGCTGAGCAGCCAATCACTTCACACCCACGTGCTACAGTGTGTCCAGGAAGCATGAGATCATTAATACCTAAAAGCAGGGGCATTTTCTGAACGCAGTGGACCTGTGTGCAAGATTATTAATTGGGCCCCCTGGTTTGTGAACAAGAAAATGTGGGTGCATTTCTAATATTGGGTGAGGCCTAAAGAGGTATGGTTATATACAGCTGAATCAACATATATTATAGAATGAGAAAGTGTTGAATAGGCAATGTACAGCACAGTATCTGTGCAGGTACACTGGAAAGACAAGGGCCCAAAATTAGACATTAGAGCACCTGTTCAGGGGTCAGTAGTAAGTCACTTACTACTGACCTCTGCACCACTTACTAATGACCCCTGATCTCTGCACCACTTACTACTGATCTCTGAGTCACTTACTACTAGCCTCCAAACCCTGCGTTACTTACTGACCTCTGAGCTCTGCATCACTTACGACTGAACTCTGATGCTTGTACTCCTGAACCTCTGTGTTACTACTGATCTCTGAACTCTGCTTCATTTCTTATGGACCTCTACTACTGAACTCTGTGTCACTTAATACTGACCTCTGAACTCGGGTGCACGTACTCCTGAATTACTATGTAAATACTGATCTCTGAACTCTGTATCATTTACTATGGACCTCTCTGTCACTACTAAACTCTGCGTCACTTACTCCTGACCTCTGAACTCTGCATCAAGTACTCCTGAACCTCTGTGTCACTACTGATCTATGAACTATGAATCATTAACTATGGAC